ATTCCTGTAGTTGGGGAATATCTTTAGTTTTCCACTTTGAGGCATATACTACTCTGCTGCTGAGAGAGAATAGAAAATTATTTTGCTGTATTTCTTCTCAAGATCCTGATCCATACACATTCCTAATAAAAACAACTGTGGGTCCAAAGTCAATTTACAGTCTAACATTTCACAAAGGGCAGATTTTATAATCAACCAGAATTTTTTTGCTTTTTTACATGTCCACCATAAATGATAATACGTACCTGTCTTTTTACCACACTTCCAGCATAAATTTGAATATGCTTTGTTAATTTTGGCTAGTCAGAGTGGAGTCAAATGCCATTGAAAAATCATCTTATAATATTGTTCTTTAATATTGTAACTCAAAGTATATTTGGCCCTCTTAGTCCAACATGGTTGGTAGAAGATTATTATTAATATTATTTTTCTTGTTCGGACTTCTTTCTTATTTGCTATATTCTTAGTGTCTTTATTCTATGTATTTTATGTTTTTCATGTATATTGAGTGTTTGTCTTTGTATTCTGTATGTTTTTGTATATTTATTTGTGTTCATTCTTTTATTAATAAAAATTTATTTAATTAAAAAAAAAAGGGTTGGGGCCATGGCAAGTACATGCTGCGGCCCCACTCCAGCGGTTCTCTGGTGCAAAAAGAAGCAACAAATTGCCACTCCTTTTTGAGCTGGCACAAATCCAGCTTTTCTGCACCGCAGCAGCTTTGTGGCACTCCTTTGGCATGCGGCATCTAAACTAGCAGAGCAGCAGTGTGCTATAATTTGCAAGGATTAATTAATTTGTTGCTGCAATTTGTAAACATTCTTCCGGGGAGGCAGGTTATGTATTTACTTAGTTAATGTCTTCTTGGGTACTAGGTCTTTGACCAGAGCTCACTTTTACCTCTGTTCTGCATGCATCTTCTGATTTGAAGAAACTAGACTAGATTAAATTCTATTTATTTATTTCCTGTATTTATCTTAGCATGGGACGCAATCTGACTTGCCCCATCTCCCTAAGTAAGGAAGAAGGAATATAGCAATAATAATAGCAAGTCCATTTGTATCATGGAACTAGCAATCCCTAAGCAGTTTACAATGTGTAAGCCAATTGCCCCCAACAAGCTGGGTACTCATTTTACCAACCTACAAAAGGATGGAAGACTGAGTCGACCTTGGAGCCCTGCCTGGGATCAAACTCACAACCTTGTGGCTACAGTACTAGCATTTAACCACTGTGCCACCAGGGCTCCCTTATGATCCCCTCATTTCACCTTGATCTAGATAGCCCCATTAGTTAAGATTTCTGTCTTAATTTTCAGACAGAAAAATGTATTCTCTCTGTTTGTCTCCCTCTGTGTTTGTGTAAGTGAGAAGCTGTGAGCAACTGTAGTTGATGTTTAATGTATAAGTGGAACATGAGCAGCAGTGTGATGCTTCAGCAAAGAAGGGAAGTACTATTTTTGCTTGCATTAATAAAAGCGTATTTTCCAAGCTGAGGGAATTAATTGTCCCACTGTATTTTGTATTGTGCTGTACTATATTCTGTACTTTAGATTAGACTGCTCAAAAACCAACAACTAAAGAGGGGGAGGCTAGACAGAAAACATGTCCAATAAAACAAGCATAGTTAGACGCAACACTGCACATGTAATTGGAACATGGAACGTGAGAAGCATGAGCCAGGGAAAAAACAGACATAGTAGCAGGGGTAGGCAACCTTTCCCCTTTAAGGGCCAAGGGACTGCAGCTCCCAGAGGCCTCAGCCATGTTGGCCAATAGTCCCATGTTGGCCAATAGCTCCTGGGATTCTGGGAGCTGAAGTCCCTCAGCCCTGGGAGTGAGTGAGTTAAAGTGGACAGGAATGGGTCATTTTGACTCAGACAGCTATACAGTAATCCATTCAGGAAATGAAAAAAACAAGAAATGGGGTGGCTTTTATACTAAGGAAAGATATAGCTAGAGCACTCAAAGGATACAATTCAAAGTCAGACCGTATATTATCAATAAAGCTTCAGGGTAAACCTATAAACATCACAATCATCCAGGTACATGCACCAACCATAGATGCAGATGAAGAGGAAATTAAGAGATTCTATGATGCAGTCCAGGAAGAAAATGACAACATACTATCACAAGCTTTCAAACTAATCACTGGATTAGAAAAGGAAAGAGCACTAGAGACCTCATTGCAAACATACAATTCCTAATGGAGCACACCAAAGATTCCAAAAAAGAATCAGCATTGTTTCATAGACTACAACAAAGCATTTGATTGTAGAGATCACAAAAAGCTATGGAACACACTTAAAGACACAGGTGTGCCACTAACTACATCTGATAGTCCTGATGAGGAATCTGTACCAAGGGCAAGAGGCCACTGTCAGAACAGAATTTGGGGAAACAGAGTAGGTCCCAATAGGCAAAGGGGTTGGGCAAGGCTGCATCCTATCACCCTACTTGTTTAACTTATATGCTGAAATCATCATAAGAAAAACAGAATTAGGTTCAGGAAAAGGAGGAGTTAAAATAGGAGGAAACAACATGAACAACCTAAAAGAGTGATGGCAAATCTTTTAGTGACTGAATGCCCAAACTCAATGGCGTTCCCGCACTGGGTGTCACCGGGTGCTGGGGGTGGGACTTCTAGGGACTTCCAGAGGTAGGAAGGGGGAAAACATACAAGAAAAAAATGGAGGATCTGACTAAATAAAAGCTCAAAACAAAAACAAAACAAAAAAGCCACTCGCATAAATATTAAATCCATCCTTGTCAGCCCTGCTCAAAATGGAGGACATTTTGGAATCTCTCCTGGACAGTTCCTGTTGACTTTGGAGCAGCATCAGCAGTAGCAGCAGCAGCAGCAGCAGCAGATAAGCCTCGAACCCAGAGCTCAGGAGAGAAGGGCTGCTTGAGAATATACCGTAATGCAAATGTTGAATGGGGTTTTCCCCCTTTATTTCAGCACAATGGACAAATGAAAGGAATAATTTAAATGTAGACTCAGTCAAGGATTTGTGGCTAGTAAAGTACAATTTTAAGTCTGTGTCTTGCTCAGTTCTGTAAGTATATTGCAAACCAACAAGCCATTTTAACGTTCATCAGAAAAATACAGCTGAATACATAATAAAGTGAGAACCAGCATAGTTTAATGGTTTGAATGTTGGACTGTGACTCTGGACAACTTGGGTTCGATTCCCATCTCGGCTGTGAAACCCTCCAGGTCACCTTGGGCAAGTCACATAGTCTCAGCCTCAAAACATGGAAATGGCAAAAATCCCCTCTGAACAAATCTTGAAAACTTGAAGGCAAAACAACAATATATAATATTGTATCTGGTAAGATTCCAGGAAAAGTAGAAACAACTGTACCCAATGGGCACACATTTGGTGCCAGTCCCTGGCACACTGGAAACAAATAATAATAATTGCTGTTCCCCTCAAACAAGATAAAGTGATGGTCCCTGTGCCATTGGGTGCCAGTTCCTGGTGAGTTCTAGGAAAGACCAACACAACTCTATCCAATGTGCATAAATTCAGTGCCAGTCCATCTGTGGCACACTGGGAGAAAAAATGATAATAATAATTGCTTTTCCCCAAACAAGACAAAGTGGTGGCCCCTGAACCACTGGGTGCCAGTCCTGATTCCCTGGTAAGTTTCCAGGAAAGACAGGAACAACTTTACCCAGTGAACACAAATTTGATGCCTGGGCCTGGGATGATGATGATGATGATGATAATAATAATAATAATAATAATAATAATAATAATAATAATAATAATAATATTGCTGTTTCCCCAAACAAGGCAAAGTGTTGGTCCCTGTACCATTGGGTGCCAGTCTCTGGTGAGTTTTCAGGTAAGTCAGAAACAACTGTATCCAATGCGCACAAATGTAGTGCACTAATTCTGCATTGTAGAATTAGAACACACAGATAAATTATTAATATTAATATTAATATTGCTGTTCCCCCCCCCCCAACTAGCCCAAAGGATAGTCCCTGGGCCATTGCCTGCCTCCAGGTCTCTGTTGCTTTTCCAGGAAAGGCAGAGGAAGCCACTGATGTACCTGATGGGCACAAAATTGGGTGCCAGCCCCCTGGAAAAGAGGAGGCAGTGACCAGCCAAAATGCACCAGGGCACTCTTTGCAAGGAGGAGAGCCTGGGGAGCTTCACTGTCTCTCGTATCCCAGCCAGAAGAAGGCACCCCGCCATCTCCAGAGATCCCTGTCACTACTTGTCACCTCCTCACACTGGACAAAGCCAGCCAGCCCTGCTACCTCTCTGGCTTCACATCCTGCCTCCTGCCCACCACTCCACCTGCTCAGAGCTCCAGGGTGGCATCACAGGACGAAGGCAGGGAGGCTGGGCATATGGGCACCAAGGGCCAGGGAGGGAGCCAGGCCTAGGGCCTGGGACATGTAGTTTGCTAAGGGCATCAGAGCTTTTCTGATATAGTCCAGGGTGTATCCAGACTGGAATTAAAGTGCCTTGACCCTGTTTCCACTGGCAAGGCTCCAGGCTATGGGATCCTGGGATTTGTGGTTTGCTGAGGGCACCAGAGCTGGGCTATGAAACCTACTGTGGGAGAACCTTGGGCAGGGCACTTAAAGACACACACAACACACACACACACACCAGTGCCACACTCTCAGCCTCAGAGTATGGCAATGGCAAACCCCCTCTTTAAAACTTGTCAAGAAAACCCTTGGTAGAGTCACCAGAAACACACAACACACCCCACACCCCTCCTCCTTCTCCACCTCCTGAAACTCAGCTCTGTTCTTCTTTCTCCTCTTCCTCCTCCTTCATGCCTTCCTCCCGCATGCTGGTTTCCCCCCTCCTCTTCCTCCTCCCTTCTGCCTCCTTTCTTCTTCCGCCTTCTCCTTCTCCATGCCTGCCACCACCAGTTTCCTCCTCCTTCCTTCTTCCTCCTCCATACCCCTCCCCACTGCAAACCTCCTCTGAACAAACCTGACCAAGAAACCTCCATGACAAGTTTGCCTTAAAGGTCACCATAAGTGGGAAATGATTTGAAGGCACACAGCAACTACAGCTCCCAGAACCCCAATCATGAGGGGTGGGACTTCTGGCCACAATGTTGGCACTACTGGCTGGCTCCTTATGGCCCCGTTGTACTGGGGCAAACTGGGTTGAGATAAGGACCTGGGCCATGCATGCATGCCCCCACCCCTTCCACTGGTATCTGCTATGCCCTGGCAGACTGGGCTGCATGCCACTTCCGGCACATGTGCCATAGGTTCACCAACATGGACCTAAGCTATGCAGATGACACCATAATATTAGCAGAAGACATTCAGGAATTGAAGCAGTTAATAAGAAAAGTCAAAGATGAAGGAGCAAAGGCAGGTCTGATGCTGAATATAAAGAAAACAAAAATAAGGACCCCAGAAGAAATACACAAATTCAATTTACACAATGAGGAAATTGAAATAGTCAAAGAATTCCCATATCTAGGATCAAACATTGACTAGAATGGAGACTGCAATCAAGAATAAGAAGAAGATTAGGAATGGGAAGGGCAGCTATGAAAGAACTGGAAAAGATAGTGAAGAGCAAAGACATACAACTGAGCACTAAAGTAGAATCTTTCGGGCCATTGGATTCCAATTACTATGTACAGATGCAAGAGGTGGACAGTGAAGGAAGCAGACAGAAAGAACATCAAATCATTTGAAATGTGGTGCTGAAGAGTACTTAGGATACCATGAACAGCCAAGAAGACAAACAAATGGGCTCTTGAACAGATCAGACCAGGACTCTCCTTGGAAGTAAAGATGATCAAGTTGAGACTATCATACTTTGACCACATAATGAGAAGGCACAGATCACTAAAAAACACACTAATTCTAGGAAAGGTAGAGGGTAGAAGAAAAAGAGGAAGACCACAGACCAGATGGCTAGACTTGATCAGGGAGGTTATGGGCAAGGGCTTGCAGGATCTGGGCAAGGCAGTGGAGGATACGGATTCTTGGAAATGTCTCATTCACTGGCTTGAGGACAGTTAACAAAAATTCTGTACTGGTCAGGCCTCATCTTGAGTACTGCATTCAGTTTTGAGTGCCTCATCTTAAGAAAGATATAGACAAGTTGGAGCAGGTTCTGAGAAGAGCAACAAAGATAAGAGGTATGGAGAATGAAACATATGAGAACAGACTGAAGGAGCTAGGCATGTTCAGCTTGGAGAAGAGAGGGGTAACTTGATGGCACTCTTTAAATGCCTCAAAGATTGTCACAGAGCAGAGGTAACAGGACTGTTCTCTGTTTCCTGGAAGGTAGGACCAGATCTAATGGTGTAAGGTTACAGGACAGTAGACTTTGATTGGACATTAAAAGTTCAGCAGTGATCCGATTGCCTGGAAAGATGATGGGGTCTCTTTCTCTGGGCGTCTTCAAAAAGAAACAGGACAGCTCTCTGTTGGGAAGGCTCTAGCTGGTGACCCTGTACTGAGCAGGGGATTGGAGCCAATGGTCCATGGGTGCATTTCCAACTCTATGATTCTACACCACCAGGAGACATTCTTAGCTCTCCAGGTTTGGTTCAGAAACCTCAGGATGATGCTGAACTGTCAACCCTAGCTAGATTAGTCTTGGGCAAAAAGTGGTCCATTTACTGCATGTTCTCACAAAGCCTTTTTTGCAGATCATATATACTTACTGTATGGCCCTCATTCACAATAGAGTCCCCTCTCCAATCTCCTCGTCCCTGTAAGTTTCCAAAAGCATGAGATGTATGCCGGGTAGAAAGTCAGTGAGGGGTAATTGGACTATGCTTGTGAAGATCGGAGTTTGATTCCCCACTTGGCTGTGGAAACCCATTGGGTAATCTTGGGCAAATCACACAGTCTCAGCTTCCATGGATTCAGAAAGCTCAATGACAGGTTCACCAAAGGCACACAATGACAACAGCAACAGCAACAGCAGCAACAATATATGTATCTATCCACCCCAAACCAGAAATGGACATCAAGTTGCATAATTTGAAAAATAAATATTGCCACTTTTTGGCCATGTTTAGCCTGCACTGGGTTCTGGGTTAATATTTCTACTTCAAGCTGGCCAGTGTTGTCTACCCTTGTGTTTGTTGCATTGCAGAATGTTCAGGTGTCTTACCTTTTTGCTTCCAGGATTTTGCTATTGAAGGTTTGGCAGCTCTTCAAGTCACATAATTATTTTCTATCTTTAATTTGACTCACGAAGGAGCCAGTCAACCAAATGCAGGCTGCACAGTCACCTTTTGTTGGCTATGCTGGACTTGGATCATCTGCCCAGCTTGGCTGGCAGGGAGCAATTAAATTCATTCAGGTGTGGCTTTTGGGGATCGTGAAAGTAAAGTGTTGGTAAGCCTGTTGGCTGCTCCAGACTTTGTTTCCAGGGAAAATCTACAGACCAAAAACTGACAGCTGGATGCCTAGTTTCCAGGGACTGCCCAGTTTTACAACAAAGCCAGGCCTATTTTTCTGCTGCTAGATGGAGAATTAATCTTTACCAAAGAAAACACTACAGTTCAATGGCCAACATTAAGTATTGCTTATGGGTAAGAGGGAATTGGGATGACTATAGGAAGGTTCTGGTGAATCAGAAAGAATTTTTCAGAGGAAGAATGTGGGCCTTTTTGAGCTGAATGTGGACAAGGGACAAAGAGAAGGAGGCAACTTGCTAAACAGAGAGATGAGGGCCATTTAGAAACTGTTGTCCTTTCATTGGCAGGGGAAGACTTTTCTGTTCCAGCAGACTTTGGGGAATTATTATTATTTTACATAAAAGAGCTTTTTCTTCTTTTGTAGTATGCTGAGCAACTTTTATTATGTACTTTTAAAGTAATGTTTTAAATGGTTTTAATTCTTCTTTTTGTTATCTTGTGTGCCTTCAAGTAATTTCCAATTTAGGGTGACCCTAAGACAAATTTATCATAGAGTTTTCTGGGGCTGAGAGTGTGTGACTCACCCAAGGTCACCTGGTGGATTTCTATGGCTGAACAGGAAATTGAATCCTGATCCAGAGTTGTAGTTTTGGTGTTCAAATCACTACATAGGTTGGTTCTTTAGACAATCTAATACTCTCTTAATGTTGACTTTTTTTGGTATGTTTTTAGCTACTTTTGGTTTTACTTGTATTTCTTGTTCCTTGAGACCCAGTTTTGAGGAAATTGAGGGTATAAACAAAAACAAAACATGCAGACAGAATAAA